TTAGGCTGTGCTAATTGCTCGATGATTGCTCTATTGTTTTTGTCAATGCCCTGGAGTGTAAATGCTGCACACTGTGATCTAATTAAATATTGTATTTTTTGTGAGGCTAGTTTTTGAGTCAAGTCTTTGAAGTTTGTTCTGACTCCAGAAAGCCTCCCCTGAGCTCTCTCCCTCGTTCTCTCTGGTAAGTTAGCGAGCCTATGGTTTAGCTTGTTGCTCTAATGGAGCTATCAGCTTTCTCTTAATTGCTTACCACCAAAGTCTCCATTATTTTTGAGAGGAACCTTAGGCTTAAACCTTTCAATACTCTATTTCAAACAAAGTCAGTTCCTTTGGAGAGGGTTTAGGAACTTTCTGTTCTTATGGAAAAATTTCTGAGCCTTTGCTGCAGAGTAGGGAACAGGGACAGTGGCTTATTTGTACCAGAATGACAACCTTGCTTTATTAGCTAGGCAGAAATGGCAGGGTCTAGTCTTATCAGTTTGTCTCTCCTGACATTGAACCCCTGTCCTACAAGCAAGTTGAAGCAATTGCAGTCAGGGTCCTGAAATTCTTGGTCTGCTATGCCTAGTAGAGAACTTCTGTCCTAGGAATGAGGGTGGGTAGGGGGAAGAAAATATCTGATCTCTTGGCTACATTGCCAAGAATTTGTCTTCTGCATCTTGGAACTAAAGGGTATTAATGTTGGTGTTATGCCTTCCTGATATGCCCTAACTGGAAGCTGATAGGAGAGGGAGCCCTATTTTCTTGACCACAGCCAGTCGGAATGGAGCTTCTATCATGCTTACCTGATGGTTGGTAGGGAGGGAGAGGGTTATTTCTAAAGTGCCATAGACTCTTGCTATTCTTACATATTTTTTGAATAAATATTTCTTAATTTTCTGTTTGCTCTTGGTATAATTTCCAGAGACTTCAACAATGTTTTTATTTTTTATTTTTTAAATAATCTTTAGCATTTATGGTTGTTTTGCTGAGAGTAATTGTACAGAATTTCTCACTCTGACATTCTGGAGGTGAAAGTCCTTCTGTTAAGATTTTGCATGCACCTGAAGGAGAATGAAGACAGTTATCTGAATTAAGTAAAAAAAAACTTATAAAACATAAAAAGGACTTTCAAGACTTGAGTTTTGGCCACAGGCAGCCAGGGTTTTCCACCTTGATTGAATCCTCCTGAAAACTTCTAACCTTTGCAAAATGCTTTGACTATGCAGGCTTAGGATACTCCACAAACTTTTTTTTTTTCTTTCAGCAATATAGACATTACATTGAAAAAGTCTGAAATTTGCCTCCAGTTTGAAACCCATAATTTAGGACAATATTAGATTCCCCTTCACTTATTTGATAGCTTGGGGCCAATTCTTTAATTCTTTAAGCCAGAAACTCTAAATGTATTCATTGAGGTCAGTTCATCAAACTTTATGGAATTTCTGCCCTGAGTCATATATCCATATTGCTCAGAGTGCAATGGGAGACTCCAGTAAAGATGATATGATCTGTACCTGTAAGAAGACATTAATTTGGGATTTAGATAGCCAAGAATACACAATTAAATTCTAGCACTTTGCAGACATTTATTTGGTTAGTACTGAGATTCTTTCTGGGTAGTTGTGTCTCCACCAGAGTCATTAGAATAGTCAGAGTTGGTGGTCTTTATGGTTGCTTTATGTGAGGTATATTGGATCCTTCAGTAAATATCCAATAAACATGTCCTGCTGGCCTCAAAGGCTGCTTAACTTCTCAAGGCACTATTACAGTTTCTCTATTGTCAGACACTTACCCTTTCTTGGTCCTTCTTCTACAACTATGACATAGCTACATTTCCTGATATTTTCTTGCCTAACCATTGGTTCTTCTCTTCTATTATTCTTCTATTATTCTTATTTGATTCTTCTATATGATTATGTGAATGAGATTTGCCAGGAGAGCAGAAAGCTAGGAATATATATTAAAACTATGATGAAACTAACAAATTTTAGGACACAATGTTCCCCTACTTGAACCCACAAGTTAGTTTATAAATTGCTGATTCCTCTGGTTCTTTTTATGGCCATCTTCCTGACAGTCTGAAAGTTTCTGGCTCACAACGTGACATCCTTGCATTATCTGTCTCCTCTTCTGATCTTCACATCATGCAAATTATTAATCCTACAAACCAACACTCAGTCCTGCTTATTCAGTAAACATCTGTAGGTCCCCCTGGGTGTCAAGCATTGTGCCAGGTGCTGGGGCTTCAGTACCTTCAGAGATGATTTCCTTGATCTTAAAGAAGTTTTGTAGGCTTGTAAGGAGATCAAATATGAAAAAAGACACATGTAATACTTCAGTGTTCTATTATAAAAGAAGTACGTACAGGACACATAGAGGACTCTAAGGTCAGTGCTCAATTTTGCAGGACAACAGAGGGAAGCAGAAAAAGCTTCATCTCAAGGAAGTGATGATTAAACTGAGCCATGAAGCAGATTCTAGAAAGACTGGATTAGACAAGAAGTGATGAGAAAAAGCATTCCAGGCATGAGAAAGGCTTGTTGATGAAAATCTACACAAATAGGCTTAATTTATGTTAGTGCTTTTTTTTGTTTGTTTGTTTTATTTTTTTTGTTTTGTTTCGTTTTGTTTTACTTTACAATTGGGAGAGTGTGAGACTAATAGGAGACTGTATTTTCTTGAGTATACTATTTTCCTTTTTATTTTCTTAGTACCTTCTCCAATTCTCCTGGTCTCAACCTCCTTAAGAAGAGAGAAGAGAGTCATATTCATATAGCACAGCATCTTACATATATGGCAGGTCCTTAAAAATGTGTTGAATGAAGGAATATCATAAATCGATTGATCATTATCCAATTTAAATTCAGATCTTTGCCCTAGAAACTATTTCTGAGTATACTTCATATACTGACACCAGCCACTTTGTTGGGTTTCTAGCATTTCTGTGGAAATGTCTACATCTTAGAACTACAGGGAGAAAGGCTAGGCTTGGCTGGCACTTTTGATAGAAACGCAGAAGGGATGCACAGATTGTAAATAGGTGTAAAGTGTAGGTTAAGTTTTGGCTTATGATCTTGTTCCTAATTTTAAGAAAAATGATGTGCTTTGACTTATGTATAAGAAGGTGAAAAATGAGTAATTTCAGTATCCACTTTCACTTTGACAACCTTTCTCTCTTTCTTTCTTTCTTTCTTTCTTTCTTTCTTTCTTTCTTTCTTTCTTTCTTTCTTTTTCTTTCTTCTTTTTTATATGCAAGGCCAATATCCTCTAGCATATAGGGTAAAGTACCAGTTGGGTCTTTCAGCCCTCATGAGGTATCCACTCCTTATTTACTGGGCTCAAAACCTTCAGTAATTTCCTGATTTGTAATTTCCTGATATTCCTGGGCTTTACCCCCTGCATGGGTGCTGTGGCATCTCCTAGGCCTGGTTGCAGAAGTAGGTGACGAAAAACCAACTCTTCCTGTACTGCTTAGTCCAGTTAGTTTCCACAGTATATACCACAAAGGTGTAAAAGTGTTGGTGATTTTTTTAATTTTAACTGAGTGTAAGGGGAAAACTCAAAGTAACTCAAAGCTTTAAATCATCAGCAAGGATCACTCAGTGGACACAGCCCCATGCCTTACCCAGGTTTCTTGCCCTAAGTGTTTTCTCTGTCCAGGAAAGGACCTTTAGGGGAGCTCCTCGTCTGTATACAGGATCTATTTCCTCAATGGCCCCCCACCTCCGAACGGAACACTTCTTAAATCTCACCCATTAACTCTGATAAAAGGGTTGGGGAGACACACTAAGATTTAATAATCTGAGGTCAAGAGAATAAATGGCAGTAGGTGCCCCCACACCCCTCACTACACTTCTCCCAAAGACGAACATTAATTATGAGAGCTATTACCGATGAATGCCATAAGGAGGAAGGAGTTAGTTTTCTGACTGCCACTTAATTTGCAAGGCAACATCTCTCTAGCAGTCTGGACATCTTATTGTTCTGCAGAAAATATATAATTCCCTTTTCCCATCCTAGCCCCACCTTCATCCTCTCCTTATGCTATTTTACATTGCATTCTTTGAGCCTGCTTGGAATAAGAGAAGGGGCTATTGTGGGGCCAGATCCTCATCCAAGGCTGCTCTTTAACAAAAAGATGCTTTGCTATGACTGTTCCACTGAGGATTAGATTAACTCCTTATCTGAGTCTGCCTTTCTCTCAGTCTCTAGGCTGGAGGAGAGCCCAAATTTTCATTTTCCCCTTGTATAATATAGGCAATTGGTGATCTTTGTGCACAATAGCCAGGTCACATGATCTGACAAAGGATTTATTTTTTTCTGAATCATGATTCATTTCCATTGTCTTACAAAAGAATAAAAATCAAGCTGGATTTAAGTATTCTGTGCCATATTTAACTAATCACCTTTCCCAAAGAAAAGGAAATTACACACACTCTCCTAGAAAATTCAGCCAGCATGGTCATCATAGCTTTATGATATACACTCAAGTTAATTATGAAAAATGTTCAACTTCCTAAAGAAATCTTAAAAAAGAAAATCTTGAACATGTGGCCATGTATCCTGGTGAGGCTAAAATTGGTGAAAGACAGAGCTGAATGCCAAATGATAATTTCTGCTAAATAATTCAGGTCATCTGAACTCTGATATTTTACTTACTTTAATGAGCATAATGGGTGCAATTAGAGACCATTTCCCTCATGGTGCCAGACACAATGTGCTCTCACCTAATTGTGGGCCCTGTTTTTCTTTGGACAACTCATATCTGCGCATGTGTCTTATATTCCCTGTGTCTGGCAAGAGTAGCCACCAAATAAATGTAGGTTGAAGTCAGTAACTGAAAATGTTTGATAATGATTATCATGAATAAAAAAAGGTTGCAGAGCAAAAACTAGACAATTCAATAAGAAAGTTTTTGGTACGTCTCATTTGCAACAGAATGGAATGGGGAAAAAAAGAAATTTTAAGACTTTGGGTTCTCGCTAATGTTTTTTCTCTCTCTCTCTTCTTTGCAGGGAAGTGATGCTGATATGGTGGATAAGAATAAGTGCTGTACACTCTGTAACATGTCCTTTACTTCGGCAGTGGTGGCTGACTCACATTATCAAGGCAAAATCCATGCCAAAAGGTTAAAACTGTTGCTAGGAGAGAAAACCCCATTAAAGACCACAGGTATGTGTATGAAAATGATCATGGGAGATACTGAAGTCCAGGAACCATGCCTATCCCATTAACTGTGCTTCTTCTTCAGAAGAGGCTGCCTGAATAGAACCTAATGGTAGATAGCCTTCAAAACCTAAAGGAATGGGACAGCAGACTTTGCTGTCATCAGAGGGTTATATATAATTGCACATTCTCATTCTCTCACCCTGGCTCCTTCAGATTAATAATTCAGCAGCTGGCATCTTTTGCAAGGCTGTTTACATCCTGCAAGATGTTGTCTATCATATTTATCATATATTATATAAGATACTATACCTATTACGTAAGGAATGCTATTCTTCTTAGCTTCAGTGTGTAATCCGTATGGAATGGGTAGTGTATTGTGTAGAGTGGGTATATTCACTGTCTGTGTCAGTATGATGCAGGATATCATCCTGCTCTTATCTTGGTGAGGGTGTGGAGGAGGAAAACTGTGGTCTTTAAAATGCTTCTTTGCAGACAACTAAGGTATTCCCACCCCACCTCCCCACCCCCCCACCGAGGTGACATATCTTTTGTCTGTGATTCCAGCCTATTAACTTCGACAAGAAGAAGCTTAATTATTGATAAAAGATCATTTGACCCTGTAATTGCTTAACTAAAATAATTCTTCATAAGTGTATCAAATTATGAAACTAAACTACTGTTGATGTTGAATCAAGTTAGACTGTTTGGACAAGGTTTAAATTATGGTGAGGATGTTACTAGCCTGGGTTATAATCCCAAGAAGCTGGGGATGTATTTCATGATGTCTACTCTTCCAATGCAATTAAAATTTAGCAGTGCATTTTATCTTTTTGTCTAATGAATCATGCATAAATCGTGGGAGTAATTATTTTTTAAATGGTATTTTGGAGATTGGAGAGAGCCTAAAACAATACTTGGCTTTTATTCTCGCCAGTGTTTTCCTTAAGAAAAATATCTTCTTTCACCTAGAGAATAGCAAGGAATCTTTTCACTATATTTTTCTACTTAGATTAACTGAAGGATATTGTTTTTGTGAAGGTGGCTATGACATTCAGATACAGGATGGGGTTGCGAAACACCTGAAATCTGGAGCCGAGCTCAGCTTGTTCCTGGGCACACTCCGTGTGTTAGCATTTTATAAGCAGCCACTCAGTTGAAACTCCTTATTCTTGCTCTCTAAAAGGTTGGATATTCACCTTGTAACCTACTCCCCAACAAATTTCTTAAAATAGACACCTCAAAGAAACCGTCACTGGAAAATTTCTACCTGTTTTCCACGAATGAGTAACTAGCCCATTTGTTCTTTCTGCCTAAGCAGAGAATTGCTGTTAAATTTAATTTTGGAGGTAGTGATGGGAGAGGAGAAGCTGGATCTTTGTTTATCATGTCAATTAGCAAAGGGGAGAGTTATTCTTTCTGTAAGGAAAAAAAACACCACATGGCACAAATGGTTGTTTGTGAATTTAAATACATCCTCCAGATAAGCAAGTACCAGTTTGTTTTTCTGAATTCAAATACCCTCCGAGCTGGTAAATATAACTTGGGGGTAATTTGTTAGTTCCCAACAGTATATTCCCAAGGAAAAATCAGGAGCACTTAAACTGCACCCTTTACTCAATGACTTTGTCTTGGTGTCCACAGAGCTGGCCCAATCCTCAGTATGAGCAAAATCACATTGCCAGTTAGGGAAGAAGGGGAGGGAGGGAGGGTGGGGGGTAAGTAGCTTGATCCACTTGTGGCTTGGGGCTGAGGAAACAGATTTCAGTTGCCTTATGCCTGCATCTCCCTCTCTCAACTAGCTCATGGTTCTTGGGCTGCACATCCCCTTCTGTAGCTCAGGCTCTCACCCATTCTCTTGGAAGCTGCTTACAGCAGAAAGGGTCTTGGAAGATGGGAACACCAAACAGAATTAGAGGGTCTGGGAGGCTAAATTGGTCCCTAGGCTTGGGTTAGTGTCAACCCAGCTGCTGGCAGGGAGCAGAGGAAGCAGTGTATCCTTCTAGAGCCAGATGAGTCATTAGGTACAAGTATAAGCAGAGAGTAGGCATTGGGAGGTGTGGCACGGGATAAGGATTTGAGGGCTTAATAGGAGAGTGGAACCTAGCAACAGAGAATCTGGATACAGAGATCCTGCAGAGACTCAAGCTGGGTACCAGCATTGGGAAAGTCTGGCAGGTGGTAGCAGGGCCCTGGCTGCAGGCTGGTGAAAGTAAAGGCTGTTGAGAGAGTGACAGGACACCATTATTTAAGACAAGAGTACTGAGCTGGAAGTCAAGTATAAGGAACAAATCAGGAACCTGGTTTCCAGACCAAGGATATATAGGTTGAGGCTTGGTCTTACACACAAATTCAGTTACTGCAAGTAAGGATAAGGACCTAGAGGCACCAGAAAAGAATACCCAGTCATGGGCTTCCTGAGCTACTAAGCTCAATCCCTCCAGTTTGTGAATAGAGTCAGGATTGCCTGACGTTTTTTCTTGCTGCTGGAGGCCAAGCCCAGTGGCCATTCTTGAAGGACATCACCCTCGAAGCTGTGGCTGCCCGATGCACATCTAAGAACTTCTCTGCATACTCCATCAGATTGGCTTGAAATTATTTCTGTAATGAAAACCAAAGGAAAAAAAAAGAACACATAAAACCCAACCAACTGAATTAAGGTGCTAGAGAGAAGCGAGTCCCCTGCTCAGGGATGCTGTGTAAGCTACCCCTCCAAGAATAACAGGCTCTTGAACCAGAGTGATTTCTGGGTAGGGATAATTGAAGCACAAGTCACTGCTTCCCCCAGCTACTCCGTCTGATGAGGGTGAGCAATCGGTATCTGTGAATCATTACCTTTCCGCCTACGCAAGATGTGCTTTGATCAAGCATCAACTGGATATCCTGCAGAATTATTGCAGTTTGAGTTGTCTTCTCCAGATGGGAGCATGTTTACTAGAATTTCTGAAAAGCTTGACAGACCTGCTGGGACAAATACCAGTTCCCATTCTTGTTGCTTAGTGCGTTTCAGAATCTCTTTTCCTGTTCATGCTTTTCTAGGTCCTGCTGCAAGATGAAAGCTTGAGGAGAATTCTAGGCCCCCCTGTTCTCATAGGGTCAGTGGACCTCAGCATGGAGGTCTTGGCCAAATCAGAGGCTGACTACCTGCTGTAGTCAGGTCATTTGCCACACTGTGAGAAGGATTTAGAGGAGGTGTGGGTCAGAGGCCAGAACAGTGAAGGTCATGAAAATCCTCTCTTTAGGGAGAGAATAAAGGAAACAGGGGTGGTTTACCATGGAAAACAGATTGCTCAGGGGCAAATCTTTGGAAAGTCATCATGGGAAAAAAGAGATTTCTGGGGTGTGTGTGTGTGTGTGTGTGTGTGTGTGTGTGTGAGAGAGAGAGAGAGAGAGAGAGAGAGAGAGAATGTGTGAAAACATGTGACTATGTATGAGAATATGAGTGTGTGCATGAGTGTGAGTGTGTGAGAATATGTGTGTGTGATTGAGAGTGTGTATATGTGTGTGCATGTGGGAGTATAGAGAGTATTTGTGAGAATATGAGAAAGTGTATATGTATGAGTGTGAGAATATGTGAATGTGTGTGTGAGGGAATGTGTGAGGATATGTGTGTGTGTGAATGTGTGTGAGACTATATGAGAGTGTGCATGTGTGAGTGTGAGACTGTGAGCATATGAGAGTGTGTGTTTGCATGTGTGCATGAGTGTGAGAGAATTTGTGAGAATATGTGAGAGTATGTGTTTGTGTATGTGTGTGTGTGCATGAATGTGACTGTGTGTGTGAGTGAGGGAGTGTGTGTGTGAGCTTGGATGCAACAAATGTACCCAATGAGTAGGTAGAACATTAAGGAGTCAGATCTGAGCTCAAGATAAGAAAAAGATTATTAAGATTCAGAGATACTAGATTTCTGTAATGAAACCAAAAGGAAACCCAACCAACTGAGTCAGGATGGCGGAGATGGCAATGCCTGCTCAGGTACTCTGTGTAAGCTGCCCCTCCCAGAGTAACAGGTCCTGGAGCTGACATAGGACTGGGGCGTGATGGGTGACAGGGGGTTGGGGAGGGGTGTTGAAGCAGAAGCTGGCTGATACTCCACAGGGCATTTCCTCAGGGGGGTCCAGCCCGGGACATTGGCCTAGATGACATTTAAAATCCTTCCAACCGGATTCTCAGCCTGATACTACCTGCAGGCTTGACCCACTGAGCCGATAGGCAGAAAGAATGTTGGCCTGGGAGTCGGGAGATAGGAGCCCAGGCCCCAGCTTGGCCTAAGGTGCCGTGTGATCTCTGCTAGGTTCGTTCTCCTTTCCAACCTCAGTTTTCTCATCTGTCATTTAAATCTAACACTGGATGTGTTTACCTCACAGGCCCTTTTGCAGAGCAAACAACAGATTTAAAGAGCTTTGGAAAGTAGAAGGTGAACATGTGGTAAATAAGTTGATGGGGGTGCAGCCCAACTCCTTTCTTCTACCAAAGACTGACTTCCTGGTTAATGTGGGGTTGTTCAAATACTACCTCGGGAACAGCACACAGGGACATTGTGTGTGTCTCCTTGGAGGCAAGTCTTTCTGGGATGAGTTCCATGAACCAAAGCAGGGCCTGGCACAGGAGCTGCCCACTGGAGTGAAGCAGCGCTGGTGGGCATGGGGGGAAGGGCTGGCCATGGAGCTGAGGAGACTGCTGGGCGGGAAGGGGCGCTATCGGGAGGAGAGAGACCCCATCACTAAGCTGGGGGCAGGACCCTGGATCTGGAACTGGTAACTGGCAAGTAGATGCAATAGTAAATCATTTTTAGGATGAGACCTCAAGATCTCTGGAGGATAAAAGGAGGAACCAGACACCCCATTGAGAGCCCTGAGAGGGCATAGATCTCAGAGATGTGGAAGAAGCTCTGTTAGCAAAGCAAAACGCAGAATGATAAAGGGCCAGAGGCTGATGCCAAACCTTAGAGGTCAGGCTGCATCTGTTTTAGTTCTGCATTTGTAAGGCTGGGATCTGGCCCTGGA